CCAAGGTCATTTTTTGACCCTTTGACCTCGTGACCTTTTCTTGACCCCGTGACCTTTCAAATTTGTCCTATTTTAAAAATTCTGATTTTTTCTATCAGAGATGTCTCATCCATGCTCTTAATAGTGGTATGTGATTTGGTTGGTATATTGGACCCGTTGACCTCAAACTGAGGTCAACAATGTGGTCATGACCTGACATGAAAATGACATCTGCCAAGAACGTCGAGAATCATAGGCAATATGGGTGTCATATGAAAGCTTACTTCACGGAGAATACATTGGTGGTGTTTTTGAGTAGGTATGGGCCGGGTCAAGGTCACATTAGGTCAGTGACCTAACACAGCATTGTGTTCTTTGAAGGTGGCGTATTTAATTTGTTTGGTAAGCCCAGTGATCAGCACACAATAAAAAAGGAAACAAAACGTCATAAAACGTCTTTTTTATTCAAAAAGCAGAGATAAAATGCACACATACCCATATAAACACACTCGCAAAAACACACACATTCATACACCTTGTTCGAGGAAGTTCTTTCAAACAAACCCCAGTGACACACGCGCTGTGAAGAACGAGTCTCAGAAGACTCGGGACAGTTTGAAGGCTGCTATGGTATTGGAGTCGAGCAGTACAAAGCGGTGAAACGTCCTGGTACCCTTCACCATGCGGGCACTTGTGAAGCGTTCTTTCATTTTTGTCTTCGTTTCTGCTATTTGCGTTGCGGGAGCTGACGCGGGAGCTGAAGCGGCATTTCAGGCAGTGGTTATTCCCCACATTTGAAATGAATGCCCAAGACTAAAAAATACACTACTTCTCTGTCCGAGCAGCGTCCCAGTACAAGAACAAATACAATTTTGCAAATATATGTCATCATGCCGAGGATTTCGGTGTTCAATGTGAGTGGATTTTTTTGCCACCTCGCATGGCAAAAGCGCATGCGATGGTATTGGTAATGCTGTGAGGACCACCTTACCGATAAAATGCATTTCTTCTTCGTTTCGGCAACGCAAATAGCAGGAACGAAGACGAAAATGAAAGAGAACGGTTCACAAGTGCCCGCACGGTGAAGGGTAGGTAGTAGGTACACTCGGGGGCAGATTGATGTTCCACCACTCCCTATACCCATCGGGCTCCCATGGCTCAGCACTGGCTGCTGCCAGTGGCAGCACTGGCAGCACTGGCACTGGCAGGCAGTGCTGAGCAGTGCTGAGGGCAGGCAACACTGGCAGCAGCCACTGCTGATCCATGGGAGCCCGATGGGTAGGGAGGTCACTGACCTAATGTGACCTTGACCCGGCCCATACCTACTCAAAAACACCACCAATGTATTCTCCGTGAAGTAAGCTTTCATATGACACCCATATTGCCTATGATTCTCGACGTTCTCGGCAGATGTCATTTTCATGTCAGGTCATGACAACATTGTTGACCTCAGTTTGAGGTCAACGGGTCCGATATACCAACCAAATCACATACCACTATTAAGAGCATGGATAAGACATCTCTGATAGAAAAAATCATAATTTTTAAAATAGGACAAATTTGAAAGGTCACGGGGTCAAGAAAAGGTCACGAGGTCAAAGGGTCAAAAAATGACCTTGGGGTTTCGTTCACATTTTTGCTAGACGCACCAGCCTTTGCGCTTCTTATTTCATATATAACTTTTTTTGATCCGGTGAACCGTTGCAGAGATAAAAAATACTTTATATTTCAATGTTCCGGAAAACCTAAAAATTTGCATGACCCATATCTCATGACCCCTGTGACCTAGAGACTAAAAATTTACTGGGACGAAGTAGTGCCCATAGGTCAACTTACATGCCAAATTTGAGCAAAATCGGAGAGGTCATGGTGAACAATTGGAAAAAAATTAGGTGATTTGTCGTGGAATTGCCCTCATGCGATCGATCTATGAATATGGCTATGAATTATGATTTGCGACAGATACGAATGCTTGAGCGTACGGCGGAATTTTTCCTGTTACTTAGGTGCATAGTTGCGAGCAGTGGTTTGAGGTTGACGGTTTGACACTTTGCGACTTTAGATGGTCACTTTGCGTCATTGAAATTGCGAAATGTCGAGTAACAGGTAGATGTAGAAATGTTTGTGGTTAGAACTAATATGCGACTAATATAGGTACCGATCGTTGTGCTTTGTAGAATAAATACTAGAAAGGACCAGCTTTGTTGGGAAACGATCAAATGGGACAGGAGTAAAAAAAAAAAAACTTACGTGGAATGGAGCTGATGAGATGTCGAACAGGGAGATATCGAAGCGATATTTTACCAGATTCACACTCACTGACACAGCCGTTGAATCTCCCGGCCCGAAGAGACCGCACACACCAGTACTGCACCGCGAGTGATGACGCGCCCATCGCGGCGCGGCCTTGACAACTGTCGACTGTCGACGCGGCGCCGGCCGGCGGCCGTCGTAATCGTCGTTCCCGACACGGGCGTTGAGCCGCCAGAGGGCGCGAGAAGCAGCCACAACAGGGGCAGTGGGTTAGCCGTAATTGGGGCGCGGGCGGTAGGTGAAGGTCACGTATAGGAGTCTGGTTAGTTGCGGAAAGTTGCAACGGGATAAGAACGTAGACAGTTAAATATGATATGCTATATGATATCTAGGACTGCACTTCGTTTGATGCGCATTGTTTACTGCTAATAGGATGATTTAAATTAGATTCCCTATGAAAGGCTAGGGACCCTATGACAATATTCTGGCACTCTATAAAGATAATTTGTTTAGGTAACTAGTAGCCCATCAGAAGCTATCGAACGAGTTTCAAGGAGGCATTTCCGTTTGAGCATTCAGTAATTCACTATGGTACGGTGGATCACAACCAGACGGCAGATCGATGCGTGTTAATTGGTTCTAGATCATATGTCTGATTAAATCAAGAGCGGTTCAAGGTCTGCTAGGATTGTATACGAGAACTGATGATAAGGTTCACGCGTGTAGCAGCAATTAGGACTTGAGATTACGATTAGATTTGGTTAAATTATGCGTTTCTGCTATTCGCGTTCTTGCGAGTTAGCGCCAATAATTACTCCAACAATATTGGCACAGGGCATTGTGAGGCACAGACGGCTTGTTTGCCCGCCTCCTATGGCGTAACGTTTACCAGCATGACTGTATGAGACACAGATGCACTTCTCGAAACCCACGTCCAGACCGGAATAATAAGAGGGACACACCGTCACGTACGCAGGGCATATGCACGTTTTCCGCCAGTGGTACCGGCCACTGTTAATTTTCCCGCTTAGGTAACACTGGGTGAGAAGGCAGTGAGAGGTTTCTACGGCAGGGGGGAAGGGGAAGATTGGCACAGTATGCAGTGGAGAGTAAGTTATGCCAAAGGCAAGAAGCCGAAGGTCAGGGGTGAGTCACCCAAAGGGCGGATAAGGCGAGCCGTAGTGTCCCGGATAAGTCCTCATACTTATTTCGTAAAGGTACTCTAATCGGTACTGGACAGCCTCAGGGGAGGGAAGAATGTACTCCAGGACACGTAAGGCCTTGAATAGTAAATCCCATGGTTAAGGATAGTTCCAGGATATGAACTAGGGTCCCTGGGTCGTGAACGGGAATGTTACACGCGGACCGGAAGAGGGCATAGGTAATCTCTCCCGGTAGAGAGATAAGTCGGATATAAATCGTGTATGTGTGTACCATAAGTCTATCGGTCGTGTAGTGAATCCCATAAATTAGTAGGGTGGATATTTATGCAATTATTCTGGACGGCCCTGCGGTAAGTATCTTTGTCGCCGGTTAGCGGAGCATGCATATGGATTTCGGAAAGAGACATTTATCTCGCCGGGGAGATCGCTATTAGTCAGGCACCTAACGCCATCGGAGGGAATTCGAGGGGCGCTAAATAAATTTGGGGTGAATATATGACGAACGAACGTAGAGAGAGGATGAGAGTGAGAATGGTAAAGGATGAATCTTAGGATAAGGCCGATGGGAGTTTAGCGAAGCTCAGTTAGGACAGTCAAACTAATTAATCTCGAGGGCAACTTAAAACTAGCAACGCTAATACGAATTAAGTGGGCAATTTTCTTAATGGGAAGGCCAGTGATATAGGAATGGGTGACTGGACGAATGATCACATTCAATTTATCAATGTAATTACCACCCATATGTTTGGCAGTGGTCATCGGGACTTCGAATGCCCTGTCCTTCACCTGCCCAACTGTGCCGCAAACCCAGCTGATCGGATACCTCTATCCCTAATCCGAGCAGTGAAGAAGCATCTCGTGCATCATGGTCTATACAATGAACAGAATCATCAAGCCTCTAAATTAAAAAGCATCTTCCATCAGATGTATTTGTACGCAAGGTGGATCTATATCTACATCTCTCCCAGGTGGACGTCATCCCAAGATCTTTCTCAGGATCTCATCTTCATCTCTATCTGTATCCAGATCCCTATAAGGATACCTACATCTATCTCAGGATCTCATCACTATCTGGATCTCTCTATAGATCTATCTCGGGATCTCTTCAACGACTCTCAGGTTCCCCTGTATCACCAGCTCTACTACCGACAGCATTACAGCAGCGAATTATTCTCTCTGCTACAACCAGCTGAATGACAGAGGACCGCAGTATTTGATGAACCGCAAAGAAGATGCAGCTTTTTTATTCCTTCTTTTTTTCTTTCTTTTCTAAATCCCCTCGCTACAGACTGACTAATAACGCCGGCTACGGGAGTGACTTGTGCCGCCCGCCGCCGGTCGTAGGCCTAACGTGACCGAGATGGTGTCTCAGGTGTCGAAATGACATCCTAAAAAAGAACACTCTTCGCTAGTTGATTAGGTAACTATATACAAAGTTCCATGCCTTCTAGGTATAACTACATAGCAATTCCTCACTGTTATGTTTATGTTCAGCTCTGCAGTCTCCATCCACCGTCAGCCAGAAGTGGACGCCAGTGAATCATTACATTCACCGCCCTTAGAGGCAGTGTGTCGAGTTGGTGGTGAGGGTCGGTGTAACCTCACCTTTACCTCCCGGGGTAGCGTGTTGAGGTGGTGAGGGTCGGTGTAGCGCCCCTCCTGGTCCCTCCGACCGGCCGCCGCCCCCAGAGGCAGCAGAGCAGCGTAGTGGCCAGTTCCACCGAGCGTGGTTCGCTCCGGACCCACGGAGGGGTAGAATGTGGCGTACGGACATACGTCCGTGGCTCCACCGCCTGCGGGCAGGACCAGGTCACACAGTCCCACAGACACCCGATAAACGAACAGGTACGCAGCCCGTAGTAGGCTTACCCATACACAAGTGGATTGAGAAAGAGAGCGCAAAGATATAAAACAAATTTCCTAATTCGTGCGACCTAAGCCTAGGGAACGTCTTACCAGCCCTTCGCACAGGATTCCACCTTTCGCCGAGTACCGGGCAGGTAAGAACCATGTGCTGGATAAATGCCAAGCCAGCCTCGTAACAATTCGTCACATGCCATGCTGTAGCTTTCAGCGCCCGTTCGGCGTTACTATTTTGCCCGCGCTCCGGAACGGCAGAACGACTGACTGTCGGCTGCGGCGGGGCCAACAGCTGTTTCCCGTGACGGCATACTCCACGCCTCTGCGACCCCGTGACCTCACATAGCGCGAGGTCAAACGTTATAACATTGAGGTGCCACATAAACGGGCGATTACAATTTCCCAGATTTATTCCGCAAACGTTAGTCGTTACACTTCCGATCTCCATTGTTCGTGGCCTAAAAATGGTATGAGAAATGAAATAGTATAACCATCTTTGCTGATCACTCAAAATACATTTTACATATGCACAAACAAGTCCGGCTCCTAGTGCGCATGCGGTGACGAATGCCGCACGCACGCATGCCGTTCGATACATCTTCTCCTCGCGTTCCAAGCTAATCGGCGCGGTTGAACATCAAAGGTGCCGCTGCCGCTCGCGGTGACCTCTCACCGAACGGACGAAGCGCCCAGCGCCCGAGGCGACCGGTTCAGACTGCGACCCTGTCACTGCGTGACGCAATCAGGTGACGGAACAGAAACGGCGCATCACAGCCCCGGAGCGGGTATACTGGACGGTGCTATTAGTGTGGACGGGTCGAGACGGTTCGGTCACGACCTGAACACCAATGGCTGAACACTGACCGTGAAAGGAGTAGGACAGCGGCACTGGACTGTTAATAGTTATATGCTATATGTATGACTCATTTGGACTGACCAGTAGTGAGCAGTCTCACCTGGGCTGGTACGCAGTTGGTCCGCCACTGTAACTATATTGGCCTGCCTTAACTGAACGTGTCTGTAATAAGCAATCTTATCTGGACTGGCGTGCAGTTGGTCAGGCGGGACAGGCTGTTTATCGAACAGTCTTAGTCTTACCTGGACTGGCGTGCAGCTGGTCCGCTGGGACGGACTGTATATTGAGCAGTCCTACCTGGACTGGCGCGCAGCTGGTCCAGCGGGACGGAATTATAATGAGCAGTCTTACCTGGACTGGCGTGCAGTTGGTCTGGCGGGACGGACTGTATATTGAGCAGTCTTACCTGGACTGGCGTGCAGTTGGTCCGGCGGGAGGGATGTATATTGAGCAGTCTTACCTGGACTGGCGTGCAGTTGGTCCGGCGGGACGGACTGTATATTGAGCAGTCTTACCTGGACTGGCGTGCAGTTGGTCCGGCGGGACGGACTGTATATTGAGCAGTCTTACCTGGACTGCTGTACTTACAGCTGCTCCGGCGGGACGGACTGTATATTGATCTGCTTACCTGGCCTGGCGTGCAGCTGGTCCGCTGGGACGGACTGTACAGTGAGCAGTCTTACCTGGACTGGCGTGCAGTTGTTCTGGCGGGACGGACTGTAGTGACAGCGGCGCGTCCGCGGCCTTGCTGTATTCGCTGCTTCGACCGTCATAACTAGGAGGCTCTGACAGATACAGAGGGACCTTGCTCCGACCTGAAACAGACCAATGACGCATATATTATTCCATCCATTCACCACTTAGCTATCCGTTTATCGATACAGTAATTAATGCCCTCATGCGCTTGGAAAGGGCGGCAGAACTATGTTAAAGGCTAAATATCTCGACCACACGACATTGAGCGATCTATTCTATCCGAGATATAGCATATTAGTTTTTTTCCTTTCGTCTCTTACTTACGAAAGAACCAGAGCTCTGGTAAAAGACCCCCTGGTGCCTACCCCTGGGTCAATTCCGACCACTCTCCTTTCTATCGGGCACGGACGGGACACAGTTTTTGTCGACGACTGCCTTCATTGGCGGCCGGTGGCGAGACGGGCGGATTAGTTCCGCCCCAAAACTCACACAGAGACGGCACGCAACCAAATAGAGCGGCAGTCGGGGCCACAATCGAGCTCCAGTCGGCCACCGTGCTGAATGGTGAACGCGGAACGGGCTGCCTTTGATCCAACGGTCAAGGTATAAGAATGAAAGCCGTGAATGACGTGTTCATAGGGTGTGGTCAGAAGACTTTATCATCGCCGGAACCCGACACACCTGGTTACACAAGTGTGAGAGCGTTGCGATGTGGGGTTACCTCCAGTAGTCGTCATGCGGTGGTGGATACCGCACTTATCACACGTTGGTTCTGAATTTCACTGCCGCGCCGGCCGGCACAATGCAGAAAGGTTTGCAGACAGTCGCGTCAGTGCATGACCGCTCGATTGAGGCATCCGTGGCATAATGACTGACCTCTGACCCCCGTCATTTTGGGTTACGACCCAGGTTCAAACAAGACGTGACCTCTGTGCGACGGGGATTTACCACAGTTCGTGGCTAATATGCCGAACATGCCAATGAAGGTCATCAAGTTCATAAAGATTAAAGACACCGGCAATATTAACTCTCGTCTTTAAGGCTTAGAATAGATTCTTACGTTTTACCCGCCACATATTCAGACAAGTACACATGTCCCTCTGTCACAAACTCTCGGCAACTATTACTCACGTCTTCTGACGCAGAGGTAGCCGGCGGAGGCGACCATGGCCAGGCTGACCAGCCCCGCCAGCACAGGGACCACCACACGCAGGCCCACAGACGGCTGGGCGGCACGCACGTCGGCTGTGCCCGACGCCGCGCTGACGTCTGCCGAAACGGAGGAAGGTCAGTTGAACTTGAGACCAGTCCGTTGCTGCACCAACGGGCGATTCTTATTTCTTATCGCTTAGAATTGGGACAGGGCTTGTATCTCAAGAGGTTAAGAAAGCTCGGTGATTGTCAATTGCCGCAGTGCTACATTCGCACTGCTTTATGCACTACAACTTACAATGTGCGTCCGTTTATGGCATGTAAGCCTCGCAAATCGCAGATCATCCCTTATGCTAAAAGGCTCTTTCAGCCACCTTAAATTTTCCGTGAATGACCTTTCTATTTATGCCGTTCATATAACCACCCAGTAAGTGACGATTTACTTTAGTGTTTGATTGCTAGTTAACACCCTCTCATGTCCTGACGACAAACCTGTTCCGTACCGGCGACTTTTGACCAGACGAGACAAGGCAGATGAAAGTGAGCTGCGCCCGTCTCCCTCCCTCCGTTATCGCCACAGCCGTGAGAATGTCTCGATAGCCCCGAGATCACGGCTCGTCGCCGACCCATAACCCCAGCCGATTACCCAACAGGGGCCGGGCGAAACGAGCACGTTTCAGCCCCATAATGTGACGCCCGACCCTAAGATGGATGGGGCTAATCAGAGAGGAAATGTCACAGCCGAAAGAAATTGACCTGACGGCGACCGGGAGCGCTGTTGTCAAACATAAACGTCTCTCGGGACACGCAATAATAGCGGAGGAATGAGAGATCACCTTCGGTGATATTGTGTAAGGCCTTCAGTGGACATCTTTTTCTGTCTCATCCGATCCGCGCAAGGCAGCTTGGAAGACCATGAGTCTTTTCGATCATTGCATACCGATTCCGTGTCGACAAAAACGTACTATACTCGTACGGTCCCTGAGGAATTTCGCGAACCTGGAATTCCATGTGATAAATCACGTAATGGGCGACCGTCTCTATAGTTGGCTTTTCCTCAGGACATGTTTTTTAAAGCGACATACAGACTTCAATTACAGAGGTTCTGCTATCACGCCATCCGTTACGGTCAGTCCAATGGCCTAATTTGGGCAGGCTGAAGATGCACAAATTTGAATTTCGGAAGCTGAATTACGGCAGATCAGTCTTTTTCAACGGCATTGCATGGCTCGAGTGTTTGACACAAAGACCTATTAATTCTCGCCGACCAGAGTGAGATAACAACTGGCCAAAGATCAATAAGAAACGTGCAATTACGGTCGACAGCGAAAGTGGGCCGGGTGAGGAAACTGATGCACGATAGCCGAGTGCCAGTAATTAGGCAACTGAGTGATACTACATGAGGGCCTGTTAGAGCGGAGTGGTGATTTAACAATTAAACGCGACAAGTAATTGCGGGTCTGCCATTGTAAATGTACGGAGGTCCGTGCCCTGTCTCAGGGTTTCATCCCTGTAGATGGTTCGCGGGGCGCCTGACGTCAGCCAACAAATGTCTGCGTTATTATTCAATCTTCTTTCGCGAGCACATTTGACATTGGCCGATGGATTGCATTCATGGATAGGTTATGCTTCAGAAGGGACTTACGAAATATAGGGCTTTTGACAGCGTAAACGTACTTACCAGGAATACTCGTGCACTTACGTGACTTATATCAATCGGTTTATGCATATGCGTATTGCGTGCGCAGAGATCGAGGGACAATACAGATGACCTGCGTCAGCTGCAGGGGTATCTGACCCTGCTGACACCGCAGCAGGGGCAGCCGACCTACCTGCGCCGCCGGCCGTCCTGATGACGGCAGTGTGGGAGGCGGCGCCGGCCGGGCTGACAGCCGTGACGTTGATGACGTAGTCGGCCGGCGGCATCGGACGCCGGATGACGTACTGGTGGGTGTTACCAGCCAGCTCCACGCTCGCTGCCGACACAGCATGACACATAAGACTCGTGTAATAAAGTCAAGGTAACGAATAAAATAATTCCTGCTGCTAATAATGATTTAGTTCATAAAACATGAAAAACTCTGAATATTATCGTTAGAAAATTCTATCGCGCGCTCCAAAACTGTGACGTTCTATTGCGTCAAGAGGTTGGGGATCGAAAGGTACTTATCAGTGGACATTTTTGGGTGTTTGGAGGATCGTCATTTTTCCAGTAGTGCCAAGCACTAACGTGCCTTATTAGGCATGACAGCGATTCGACTATGACAGATATGCAAACAACGTCCATTACCTCATGTGTCTCAAGATGTACCGGCCGCGATTTTATCCATGCGACTGGGGGATGGGTCCGAAGAAGAACGATTATAACATCCTCCTCGGGAGAACGATCCTTGTAAGTACGCCCTGCAGGACAATGGCACGTGCCTACGCTGGGAGAGAAGAACGTGCCTAATGTAGTGCCTACCCCGTGAGAGCGGCTCGTGCCTAGTGCCTACACTGCGGGAGCGGTTCTTTTCTAGTGCCTACCCTCGGAGAGTGGCCCGTGCCCCCAACCCTCCCATGCCTCTAAACGCCTATCTCGGCATATCTGAGAAGTCGCTTGTGACAACTCTGAAATCAGTGACATTGCGTAAACCGATATGGCTATCAGGCATGCAAAAGTAAACAATCGGATGTTGCCGATCTCAGTTTGGATGCCATCTTCACGAAACAAGTCGTGACTCGTTAGATTCTCGATGTGAGATACATCACTGCAAAATGCTAGATGCAAGATACTCAATCGGAGATACTAAAAGAAGATTTTGTATATGCGAAATTCGAGTTAGTTGACTCACAGCTCGCTAGCTATTTCTCGCTTTGGCCTGACTGACAAACGCACTAAAGCAAAAATTAACGTCATGCAAATAAGCATAACGGACACGGGACAACTTCTCAATCACCTGACGTTCTCTCCAATTACCCTGACCGCTCGGTATTCCAGCTCATGTCCTGGCCGGCTATCGTCCCGGCCTTAGGCTACCTACGAACTCCTCTCATAAAGATATGCGGGACTTTCCCGGGTCATGACCTTACGAGTCACCATGGCGCCAGAGGTACCCCGAGGGTAGAGCGAGAGAGAGTGAGAGAGAGAGAGGGCGAGAGGGCACCAGCGACGGTGAAGGTGGATGTTCCAGGAATCGGATACGCGGCTCTCGAATAATTTGACGTGCTTGTCTCTAGCCACCGCTCGTCGGAGCATCTTGAGGGTTGTGTCTACTGCCTAGTATGTATGTGGGATTCAACGCGACGAAGGGAACGCATTGCTGGCAATGCTGACCTTACCCTTTCAAACATTGCACAACACATATGCGGTTAGACATACAATTAAACGCTTCCGTGTGAATCTTGGATTTATGCCCTCTCCTCACCAGCCTCACCTACGATATAATTGATTCTAAGTCTTCGCTAGTCCTTACTAGCTGGTGTACAACCAAACTTGTCTATTTCTGACCCATTCTGACCTGAATCTGACCCGTGCGCGGGTCTCCAGCGGACGGTGAATCTGGTGACCGGACAGCCCTGGTCGCTCCACAGGTGCAGTCGAACGGTAATCCCTGAGCCATTAGCGGTGAGAAGGTGAGCGGCGTTGGTGAGCACCGGAGGACGGCCCGAGGTGCGCACCTCCACAGTCCTACTCGGCTCACTGGCACCCAACCTGTACAGACGACACGGGTACCATCATAGGCATTCAGTGGTAATCGTTCCAGAAACCGCAAACCGTACGTTAATTAGTGGTGTATTTTTGCTACCGCACGTCTACTTCATTTTAAAATCTCGTTAGTCGTTACAGTGTCACGAAGACATTAATGAGTTAATGAATGGATTTGTGCATATGTTACAGTTACGTCTCCCTAGTGTGTCCCACGTGAGCCGTCGCACCTGTTGACCGCCCGCAGCTGGAGGCGGTAGACGGTGCCACAGAGCAGGCCGCCCAGCCGATGCTCGCGCACCAGTCGCTCCAGGACCACCTCAGCCGGCGGCTCCGAGTTTGTCTCCGCCGCCGGCCAGAACTGGAGACGATACCGGCGGATTGCCAGGCCGGCCGCGTCTCCCGAGGACCAGCGAACGGTCACCGAGTGGCTGGCTGCCTCAGTCACCCGCAGCACCGGCGGCGGAGGCACGTCTGACGGAAGAGACATCTGGTGATCAGGTACGGTAGCTGTGGTTCTACAACGGCGCGATAGTGGACGCCTCAGACGCCGGCGAAGGGAAAACTCTTAGCTCGGGCTGAGAGTATGAGAGTATCCGAGTCTCATATAGCGTTTCCCTATTTTCTGCTTGTCCATCATGCTAACAGGTCAGCAAAGGAGACGGGGCAGGCCAGCTGTGTGATTATATTTACGACTGATTCCACCTGACCGCTTCGGCCGGGATAGCGTGTCCTTCAAACTGACCGTACTTTCCCAACCTCCGATCCAATCTAATTATACACACGTGAGTGCCACCGTGCCACCAAATTACGCTGCTAAATCTGGCCCACCGGGCCGCTCCCAAAGCTGCCAGTCAGATCGGCCGAAATGAACTCGCGTGACAAATTAACTCATTGGAAACTATTGAGAACTCTAACGTAGGTTTTCTGGCGTGGGCGTATAATAGCACATACCTACTTTACGTTCACACGCCGTTATGGTGAATAATTGCTGTTTTCATGATGGGCTATCTGGCGACTGCACCTAATGTGACCAAATCTGCACTAAATCTCTTTAACAAAGAATATCTTCATATTATGAATTTATTTCAGTGTTGTAATCGATAGTAATGTCTGATAATATAACAAATCAGGCATACAAGCGATTAGAGCAACCCTAGCGGATAGCTACTAACAAACACACTAAACCTAATTTGACCAAATCTGCTCCAAATATGCACCTAATGTGACCAAATGTGCACCAAATGGCCGTCGCGAGAACGGCTATTGCCATTCCGAAAATGGATGTTCAATTCTATGTCTTTTATTCCGAAGAGTTGGTAAATCTTTTTATAGACCTCCGAATACCGATGGTAAGGCATATACCATACCACTTTGAATTAATTGACCGATTTTATGTTGTTTCTTTTTGGCTTCTGAGTAATCGGCGATGCGATTAAATCCGCCATGGAAGCATTCAGAAGGTGAGCCTAGAAACTCACCGAGCACAGTGACACTAAGTGATCCCCACACACCGACCGGAAACAGTGGCTTTGTAGTTGACCTGCGACACCCACTGAGCACCGACTGAGCACCCACTGAGTACACCCACTGAGTACGATACTCACAGAACATTTGCTCAGTTTAAAGAAAAACAAAACCCACAGAACAGTGCCGCTTTAGACGTGAGCCCCGACAGTCGACACCCACCGAGTATTGTCACGCTGTATGTGACGCGGTCGGAGCCGTAGGCGTTGGAGACGTGGCAGGTGTAGTTACCGGCGTCACGGGCCGTTACAGCCGTCACCACCAGATCACCGTCACCCGACTGACTGTGTCTGTGGACACGACAGACAACAGTATGTCAGCAGCTATCAGTCACCGCCATCAGTCACCGCCACTCCACCGTCATCTGACTGTGTCTATGGTTATAACCACAAAACAGCAAACCTCCGCCCTCCAAGCAGCAAGACACGGTCAATCAACAGATCGACTTTATTCGGTGAAAACTTAGTTACTCGCTAAAATGCGAAACGTTTCGACACATAAGCACCAAATCAATAAAACGCTGCTACAAACACACTAAAACAAAATTCCAACACGTCTGTTCGATCGGTTGCGTGACTGATTCCGAAATAATTGCTGTCTACTCTTCGCAAAAACCTGACGATAGCAAACAAACCTTTTGACGAAAGCATAATACTTAGAGACCACCACCAGAGTCTGTCCTCCTGACAGACTCTAGGTGAGATGTCTGGCTCTGGATTGAGTGAGCTATCTCACCTGGGTGAGTTGCTGAGCGGCTGTCCGTTCCAGGTCCAGCTGAGCCGGGGCGCCGGCTGGCCCACGTGACTGCAGGAGAGGGTCAGCTCGGCGCCGGCCACCACTGCCACCGGGCGACTCAGCGGGATGATCTGCGCCGATACTGGAAAACACAAACACACAAATAGATACAAACAGAACAGATACACATACAAAATTTTTATACCGGCCACCACTGATATCGAGCGGCAAGAGGGATGATCTGGGCCAATACTGGCCAGCACTAACAGACAAGTGACACCAAACTGACAGGCCGACCAGTTTGACTACCCACCACACAGAATAGGATACAATCAATTCGTAACCGTCGGCGACAGGTCCCCCAGTGAGAGCCTCATCCCATCTACGACTGGACCGACGTGACGTCATCAGTTGACCGACGTGACGTCACATCACCGGCTGACGCGTCGCGACAGTTTCGTCCCGCTGTAATTGTTCTGTCAGCGGCGACCGGGCCGGACGAGGCCATTTCAACCTGTCCAGACTCACTACCCCGCTATCTCCAGAACAGCACCCAACTTACTCGGACAGCGAGATCAGATAGTGAACCAACTCGTCACCGCCGCAAAGGCAGAATTTATTACCGGATAGATAGCAGAAAAAAATTAACACAAGAAAATAATCATAAATGCATCAAATAAACCAGCCTGAACCTTTACTACAACAATGCTTTTTTTTTTTCTTTGAAGGTCGATATAAAAAATCGTTCACGTGAAAACGTATGGCAGTCCTATCATCGTGCTGTCAATCAATCGATGAGATCTTTCACGTCTCTACCCCAAGTCACTGCCTCGTGTCGTTCTCGTTCTCGCTCTTACCATTCTGTTTGGTGGTGAAGCGGACGGGCCGCGAGCGCTGGCCCTCGCCGGCCGCCGTGCGGGCCGCCACCCGTACAGAGTACTCGCTGCGCTCTGAGAGAGCCTGCAGTGCCAGACGACCGGTGGGCGGCGCCACCGTCCGGCGCTCCTCACTGGTCTCATCCGAGAACGTCACAGTCCTGGGGAGAGAAAAAGAAAATAAAGATCAGCAAACACATATGAACAAATCCGTCCAACAAATCATCATTCTATCTAAGTTCTCGTTTACCATTCATCGGTTAATGCATTTTTTCGATATTGTTACTGTCCTATGGTTTATTAAACTTTCAGCGCTTCGACTTTTTCCTAGATGTGTTTTACTTTTGTAATCTACAACACACAAATGCAATATATGGTATGCATTGCTTTGCTATTATCTCCGCTCTTGTTGCAACTTTTTTTACTTGGCCTTGAATACGCGCATTTCTTTCTTCGCTCGTGCACTTTTTAGCACTCGCTACATCCCATTTTTTTTTTTTTGCAAAGACCACAGATGCTCAACACAGACTATGCTCTGTGTGAGCCGGTACGTCCGCATTGTTGCAATGGGATTCCTTATGGTATTTGTGCCTGCCTTTCGGGACCGGCCGCAAACAGAGGCTGCATCCGAGGTCCGTCTGTTCTTTGATGCAGTGGAGACGGGAAACTACCGCGAGCTAGGAGAAATGATTAGCGGGAAATTCCCTAAGGTAATTGGTGAGTGAGCATTGAGATCAATTTCACACATGAGCGACAAGAAAATTACCATTAAGCAATGCCACGGCTAGATCAGTTACTCTGTGCCGTTTGGCCAGAGAGTAAAAGAAGATTCACCGATAGGTCTATCATTTTGTAGGTTCAGATAATGAGAATTCATCAATAAGGCTTATATAGATATCTGAGTGGAGCTCGATATATGATAATGATTCCATTGATATTTTGCTCGATAAAATTGCTACAACCATAAAACAAAGTGAAGTGTGCTGGGCTTTGAGTGCCGCTGGTCAGGTTTGAAGCTGTCCAAAGCAGCTAATGCCGGCCATCAGTGCTCATGTTTTCCTCATTAAAACTTTCCAGGGCCGGTAAAGTTTCAGAGTGTGGTGAGGCACGTGGAACCGAGGCCCGGGTAAACTTGTATGTAACACCTGTGTGGCACGCAGTGGGTATGATTAATGCGGCAGTGCAAGGCGGGAGTGGGGCCACGCAGCTGTAACCTCCATGTCACATTGTGCAGTTTATTACATGTAATAAAATGCACAATGCGACATGGAAAGGTGTAAAGAAATATATTAATTACAAATACACTGAATAAGCGATACCACTACCATAGCTGACAGCCAACGATAGAGATAAGCCCGTTGCTGTCGATCCCCCCAACTCCCGATGGCATTTTGGGTCATAGTTGACCGTATCCATTAGTCCGTATCACTTCAGTGGTCGGTAAATTTTCCAACCGCGTCGTACGTTGCGATTTGTGTGATTGATGTCTCCGATACAGAGCACCAGTCAATTAACTGCAGACTCCAGCCAATTCTACGGCCATTGGGATCGCCCGTTATGGCATGCTGAGTTTGTGAACTAAACCTTTGTGGACTACGGAATGGACGCGTGACTGTCCGCTAATGGGATCTCCTTGGGGCTTCGATTCTATGCAGACAGGTGACTTAACACTTTATTGCCCACTACTTCATAGTTTCGAAAGCGTCCGTTCTTAAGATTATATCGCGAACAGTGGTAACTGTCCTAAACCCAACGAGGGCGGCTCGAAATTAAGGTTGACGGCACAGTCGTCCGATAGGGATGATAGTCGGCTTTGTTTGGCCGTTCGGAAGTCTGCCATCACATTTTACAGGCGCATTGATCGCCATATCAATCGAGCCTAAATCACAGCTCCAGTTAATGGCCTATTGACTTCGCCCACAGCCGCGGGCAGCCGCGCTGCGTGGCTGTCGGACGGCGCGGGCTCGGCTCGCCTAATCTCATCTACGTTAAACAGTCGCTCTCTGATCGCACAGCCATTCCTGTCATATTAAGCTACTGCTCTATCTAGCCAGAAAGAGAACAGTGTTTGCGCAGTTTCTGCCAATGTTTTTCAGGCCTGCAACAAAGCTTTTTATCCGATCACGCTCTTAACGTTGAGGTCTACGTAATACGCTCAGAAAGGCACGTCAACGAAACGAGTAGGCTTATGCCCGAGACCGAAAGCGGATCGAAACGCTTTTCACTATGGCATACGGGCCTCGGAGGCTTGCGACTTGAGAGCCATTTGTGTGGGGGAATCCCAACGTAATATCTTTGCACAACAAACCTTTGAATTCTTTGGAAACAAAATTTAAAAAAAAACAATGGCCAAATTATCAACCAGTATAACGCCTTTTGTGGCGACTAACGGAGCGAGCGAGAGGGTGGGCCTTGCAAGTGCGAAGTTGCGAGGGGGTACCTCCAACTGACTTGTGCACGGCACCTTACTAACCGGTCTCTAGCGATGTGCCAAATTTGAGCACAATCGGCCCAGCCGTTCTCGAGATCTGGAAGCGGCACCCTGCACGTGCGCACGTGCAAAATGGGTCCCAACTGACTTGTGCACGGCACCCTACTAACTGCTCCGTAACCGTGTACCAAATTTGAGCGCAATCGGTCCAGCCGTTCTCGAGATCTGGAAACGACCCCTGCACGTGCGCACGTGCAGCAGCATCCCAACTCTGGCACATGGATATGCATTGCCTAGTGGGTGCCTACCTACATGCCAACTCTCAGCGCAATCGGCCCAGTAGTTACCGAGATATTGCAACAATTACGAAAATGACACCTCTTGGTTTTGCACGTGGCACGTGCATAAGGGGTCACCCACATGCATCGGGAATAGTGCAATACTTGGTAGAAGGAATGAAGCTACCCTACAAAAATTACCGCATGTAAATCGGTCAAGTGGTTGCTGAGATATAAGCCTCGCAAAAGCGTGACCACGGCCGGCCGGCCGGCCGGCCGGCCGCTCATACTCAGAAATTTCCGTTAATCTAAGGAAAGACTACGCTCGCTTCGCTCGCTCCGCAATTAACATAGATAGAAACATGGAAAAACATAAAAACATAGAAACATAGAAAAAAGTGTGAGAAGGTCACTGATCTGATGTAGATGTTGTACGATGTGAAGAGTCCACTGACCTGATGTAGATGTTGTAGGAAGTGATGACGCCATTCGGCCGGCGAGGAGGGAGCCAGCTGACCAGAGCGGTGGACGAGGACGTCACCACTACCCCGACTGCGGCCGGCTCCTCTGGGACTGAAGCATAAAGTCAGACACAGACACAGACACAGTCAGTGACAGAACAGTGGTACACTAGAACAGAATCAACCAGCATCCGCGACTGGGCCGGCTCCTCTGGGACTGTACAGTCATTGTCAGCCTCAGTCACAAAGACAAGAACAAACAGACACACTGTGAGTGGCAGATCCGCTCTCTCGTCTGTTCACTTATTGGGGCTTTGAAGCGCATCGACAGCATAATTTACGCAGGTCGATCCACGACAAAAACAGACAGAGACACACAGTGTATGTGTCTAATCTACTTGTTGGATGTTTGTCGATCTAATGTGCCTCTTCAAACACAAGAAACTTAGTAAAACACGGTCAGACGTACCGTCCTCGAGCGTGGAGCAGAAGACGGGCTGGCTGAGAGTGCCGGCGCCGACGCCGGTGGCCGCCGCTACCCTCACTGAGTAATTACTGTTGGGACGCAGGCCCTCCACCGAGCAGGACTCGTCGGCCACGTCAAACGACGAGTAAAATAATTCACCTGGTGAAAGATACACACAAAAACGTTGGAAATACTGGCGGTGTTGCTTATTGCTGACTTAAAACGTAAATGAAATGAAGATTTAAATGATAAAAAAGTTTATAGGAACGAGAAGGGTATGAACATTGAACACACGCTTACGAACCCCATAAAACTCTAAAATACGGAACATACTCGTCAATTTAGCTCCTCCCTCACCTCACCCACTAAAGCCTCTTCGTCTACTCACCGTCTTCCTCCTCCACGGCCTCCGTGATGACCCGGTATCCGGTGAGTCTCCCGTTCAGATCACTGGCAGGCGGCGGTACCCAGGTGATCCTCAGGAGACCCGGCCCGGCCCCGGTACAGCTCACCCTGCCCGGTGGAGCGGACGGCACGTCTTCCAGTGTGCGGGTGCGAGCCGCCGCCGCCCGCGGGCTGAAGCCGCGACCATTGTATGCCTGCACTGTGACTCGGTACCAGGTGTGAGGCGTCAGACCGGACAGAGTGGCGGACGTGGACGTGACGTTGTGCACCGAGGAGCGTTCCTCGGACGTGAGGGACGTCTCGGCGGAGGGTGGGTCCGAGCCGCCACCGGCCGATACCCGCCTGCGAGACACAGAATGGAGGGCGGTGAGGAAAGGCCAGGGGCAGGCACAGCGACAGCTGGGTCAGGTGTATACATTGATGGGACAATGGTGGCTACAAGCCAATGAGGTGTTCAATAAAATCATGAGTTCAGGTAGTCAATAGCTTATTCACTTGCGGATTTAGTTAATCAATCCACGTTTCTTTTTTCGTCGAGCGTGGCTGAAGTGTTTCAATTTGTAGTTTTGAGCGCATCTGACAATTCTATACAAAGCTAGTTCAGGTGGCAAAACATGTAAAAGCACATTTCGCGGTCGACGTTTATTCATCTCGTGCTCAAATCTCTATTTATATACCGGAAGGTTTTCAAATCAGCTCATTCTTTCGAATGTTGTCAAATGAGGTGAACCATTTACATATGAAAAGGCCAAAGCGTAAATGGTCTTATATTTTTTTTCAAGTTAGTCACGTTGACCGGTCCCAACATCCTTATTCCTTAGTATGTGGAGCACGTTTGTTGAGATCATTTTGCATAATAAAGGATTTGGAAATAAATATGCGCTGTTCGAAGTAAAATAACGAATACATAGAAGTGTCAGCAAAGAACACAAGTCAGTCTGACAAACACTATGGGAAACACCGCTCAAACGATTACCGAACGCACCGCGTGATTTCCTACAGCCCACAGACCGCCCAGAATCGATACCGTGCCATGCGGCACAGCATGCATTCAGGCGCTCACCACTGCTGCCATCTAGCGGGGGCTGGTCAACTTTCCTCAGTCGCGCCCCGTTCGGGCCGCCCGCTTGGGCTACAGGGATACGCTTCCGCTGCGTTTGATAAAGCATGGTAAAACACGACACAGCAAGGGAATTCCACGACGAGTACAACGCATTTAGCTGATTACAACCGCTCAGAGTCAACATAATTCATTCACAGAGGTGCAGTGCAATCCCATTACCCATTTGTCTGTTGAGTACATAATTACATATGCCGCAGAATGCAGACATGTCTAATTGAATTATATAGATTGCTGTATGTCCTTTTTAGTTCATAAAACAACTTAAATGAGGTTTCTATGCTTGTACTTTGTATTTGATGTTCAGCGATGAACTGACATTGCTCGGTTTCTCATCCACTGTCCCGTGCCTCCAGTTCCTTTGTTATCAGTCTCTGTCTGACGTCTGTCCTCTGGAATCTGGAGGTGAACCCCCACCGCCTCACACTCCAGATTAACCCCGGTGAGGCTATTTCCGGCGCGGCGGCTCCAGGCGCGTTCCGTGTTCCGGCCTTTTGTCCGCCGGTGTCGTGGCGTCCTCACGAGCTGTCGGCCGCCAACCGCGACCCGTTCGGTTTGAGTGTCTCCACTACCACGGCGAGGCGGGGTGGATCGTTCGGGTGAGGAGTAAGAGTGTGGAGTGAGCGTGGGGAATGAAAAAGTGACTCTCGGGGAACCAGTCGAGGGTGGAGTACAGGGACAGGGTGACGGTTAAATGTGGGATGACAGTGGTGGAGGGTTTAAAATTACGAATGATATACCAGAAGCTATGTTCTGATGAACTAATTAACGACAGTTTGCATGAGTCAATTTTAATTATTTGTGCATTTCGCGTGTCCGATTCAGTGCTCACTAAATACGTTTCGCGTCCCAGACACCTTAGCATCATCAGAGCGGTTCTTTAGGTGAAAGCTGACAAGCGATCGCAACTCTGATTACCATTTCAATGATTGTGGCGTTACATTTTCAGTCAATGTTTGGACAGGCGACTCATCAATTGCACATGTAAGCGGACCCTTAGCCAGCAGTCAGTCAGCACCAAGTTACGACACCAGCGAAAATGTCGAGCTGAATCTATTTTCCAGAGAGCACAAACATTTTGAGATGACTTGACGGAACTGTCACTCCTCGTCAGAATATTGACGGCAGAAATCGGCGCTGCCGTCAAAATGACGTGCGCGTCATCAATACAAGTGCCGACTGAAACGCAACAGTGCTAAGTTATTACTGTCAGTTGAATAACTTCTGTGATTTAAGAAATCGTCAAGTCTTCTGTTTCCCAAAGATAAACACTTTTATTAGCAACGAAATCAATAAAGAGGTGTAAATACAAAAATCGTTTATCTGGTTTATCTTTGCTGGGTATTTATGGGTATTACTCATAAACCTATGCTACTCACCTGAAGAGTGAATAGAAGTAGAACTAGCCGGCAGCGGTACCCACCTGAACAGGACTCGGTAGCCCAGCAGCACGCCGTGGTGGGTATCAGCCGGCGGCGGCCGCCAGCTGACCTTGACCTGAGTCGAGGTCAGGGCCACGGCCGTGAGCGCCTGCGGCGGTCGCGACGGTGCCTCCTCGTCAGTGCGCAGGGCCAGGGGTCGGCTGGGCGGGCCGGGCCCCAGGGCGGTCAGGGTCCGCGCCCGCAGCAGGTAGCCAGTGTCGGGTCGGAGGCCGGTCAGCTGCAGTCGGCCGGGAGGCAGCGGCGTCGACTGGGACGAGTCCCAGCCCTCTGATGGCCCAGTGCGCAGGGGATGTCACTAAATCGCTGATCGAGAGAACCAGCCGTTTCAGGGAACAGTGAAACGGCTGTCTCGGAAGAGACGAAAACAACAAAACATTCTAATTTCAGAAGACCACATTCCTCACATTCTTTACATTTCACCATTTCGATATTCGAATCATCAATAAAGTGTCAACCCGAGATGTTTTTGCACACCCACCGTTTTGCCGGGTGTACTGCAGCAGGTAGCCAGTGGCATGCCTGTTGGCCGGGTCCGGCTGACGCCACTCCAAGGTCACTGACCTGCTGCTGACCTCGGTCACCCTCAGGTCACTGGGCGGCAGCGGGATGTCTGCGGGGTGAGAGGGGGACGGGGTGTCCCATCACTGACTTCCACGGAGGGTCTGGGGGCGGAAGGTCAAACTGAACAGTGTGAACACCCAATGGAATTGAATCTCCCTCCACCTATTCCCACTACCGCCCTGTATCCAAGCATTCAACCAAGCAACCAAAGGTATGAGTCCCAACTCACTCAGCTGAGCTAAATCAAATCATCCGGCGCGATACTCAATTCGGCCAACCTGCAGCAGTCTGACGCGGATTGACATACTTTCCAGCGGACATCACAAACCGTTTCAACTCGCTCGGGCGTCAGCGCTCATCAACATGCATGAACCTCCCGCCCGTTTTATCTTTCACTCACTCTTTCCCGTACACTACAGCGTCCGACGCGTTCCAATCCGTTTTCGAGGAGGCGAGGGCACAGCTGCGACCGCCAAACCCACTTAGGTTACGTGAGGAAGTTTCGACTACACTGTGACGCCATCTGTTAGTTCAGACACTTAAGGTTAACAAGCTAGTGAAACCAGAGACTCGCTGTCAGGTGATATTACGTTATATCATTCTGTCCAAATAACACTTCTAGTTCAGACGGCTGACACGAGTCTGTGCGACTGTCACCGGCTGATATGACGCCAGCGTGACGTCACGGTGATGGGTCTGGCGCAGTCTGCGGGCTCGGACAGTCGTCGCCGGTATCGGTTTGTCGGCCACACAGCTCCCGACATTGTCATGCAAACTGCTGCGGGCCAGCGGCGGACGCGCAGTTAATCGGCCGCTGGCAGAGGAGGCTGTTCACCAGTCGGCGGCCGGCGGCTGCCCGCGGGCGGTACATGATTAGATTACGGCTGTGACACGGGCCCAGCTGAGCCGAGCTGACCGGCGGCGGCGGCTGGTGGGAGCGACAGACGGAGTACGGACTATAATAGCCACGGTGGCAGAACGGAAAGTGGCTGATGTGACCGGCGACAGGCACCGGGTGGCAGGCACCCGGGTACCGAAACACGTGCATCTGTAATTTTCACTGGTCATGGTCGCAGTCGTGAGGCACAGTAGAGCATCCTAGGAGGTGCGTGACCCCAGACGATATGTGTTTGCCTTCATTGTACGATGTTCAAATGTCATATTTTATTGGATTAAGTAACCGTATTAAGCCCAAGCTTGTGACATTCCTGTGTGCCCTACCGGTAGCTACCAACTGAATTATCGAGTGAGCGTTGTTGTTCTAGTTTCCCCAGCTATCCTGTGAGGGACACGTTCCACAATAACCCGACAGGACTCGGCAAAGCAGCAATGTTTCCGAGTTTTACAGACTTTTTACGGCTGGATGCAGACAGCTGAATATGAATTGGTCGAGACACGCAAAAAGCGACGCGAGCCTGACTTGGTGGAAGGAATGGAAACACAAAGTGAGGCCATCCGAAAAGACGGCGCAGACTTCAACACACAATTAGAAGCATCTCACGTAGCGCAAATTAAGTCGAACTTGCGAACTGACTGCTTCCGATGTTTTAGAGTAACTTTAAAAGCGCTAACTTTCGCAAACTTTACAAGTGGTCCGCGGGTCGGACCGCCGAGCTGGCCAGAGCCGTGCTGTCGCCGGCGGCTGCTGGGGTTTACTGAGTAGTCCGCTCCTACCTTCCACCTCCAGTGTGACCGAGAGTCGCGCGCTGCCGTGCCGGTTCCGGGCCAGGCAGCTGAACAGGCCAGAGTCGGGCGGGACAGCCCGCACCAGCTGCAGCTCCGAGCGGGAGGCGTTCCGGCCAGAGGTCCATTGGCGGATCTTCAGTCTGGAAACAGTGGAACAAATCAATCAGCTTGTATACAGCGGAAAGATATCTCAGTCACCAACAGAAGAACACTATGAAGCTCAGCGTCACTCACACGCCGGCTCACTTTGATCACCTCAGCTGAGGCGTATTCAACGTGAGTTAGGCTAAGCCAGCCGTATATTTGAACTGTCCTTGATTGTGCAAAAGGTCAAGGTCACACTTTGACCTCAGTGACCCTACTCACCTTTCGCTCGACTCGATCAGCTGATCCTGGCGAAACCACTGTAGCGTGATTGGTTCGTCGCCAGACGGGTCACAGGTAATCGTCTGATTCTGACCTTCTCGGATTCTGTACTGCTGAGACGACTTGGCGAAAGACGGCAGCTCTGAAACACAAAGTTTTTCGTCGGAATGAGTAGGCTTTCGCCAGCCCGACCAGGTTTCTAAATGTGCAGTGGTGGGTGGACGACAGTGCGACAAACATCCATTTGCATCTGCATCTATTTGTGCAATTTAGATGAAACTTTAGTTATTGGGATTCCATGCATGATAGATGAAACCACAAAGGCGTGGCGTTTTCAAGTTTCGGGTGTTTTCTTGACACTGAGCTATAAACATGCGAGCTGGAAATAGACTGGGTGACCTCGTTATATCCTTGTCCTGACATTTCCACCACTCAAATCATCCGACACGATCGGTTTTGTGCTTTATCGTCGACCGATATGCAGATCTCATTTCGATGTTAACGCATCACCATGCAAATACGGGATGGCTCTATTATGTGCACGTCCTCTAAGTCAGCCACCACCACCCACCGGCCTGTGATATAGCGTCGCACAGAATTTAAACCGCAGCAAAGAAAGTCGCCCAGTCAACACGGCTGTTGCCGGCAAGCGGAGCGAAAAAAAAAATGAGCCATCGTAGGCAGCTGGCGCAGACGTACCGACAGCAGACCGCGCTACTGCTACCGCCTGGAGGGAAAACACTCAGGTCTGCACGATAAAGCGCGGGCCGAGTCCACCTCACCCGTACCAGACGGGACGGAGCCGCACGACACCTCGGCTAATGCACTGAGCGACTTCAAACGCTACTTGTCCAGTGAAGGACGCTCAGCTACAGCCAACTGTCCAGTTCGCTCGGGGAAAACATCCTTCGCCCCCCCCCCCCATCCCCCTCCACACACACGCGCGCGCGCACGGACACTACCGCTGGACTCCTCACGGCTCACACTCAAGCTATTTTGCGACCTTCGGCGCACTGCTGTGTCCAACCACAGATCACTTACCAAACACATCCAGCCGGGCCAGCGCGCTGAGGCCTACTCCGATACCGTTGCTGGCCTCACATAGGTAAGCGCCCTCGTGTTCAGACGATATTTCGGCAATGGAGAGCGTCCCGTTGGGGAGCAGCTTCACGCCGGAGACAGCGGACGCCGGCAGCTCGAACCCGCCCACATCTGACGAAGGAGAGACACACTGACATGAGGTACTCACGAGACAGACTGGCGTGAGTTTACTAACGTCAGGGGGACGAAATGACGTGAAATTACGGATGCCTGATGACGGGACAAAGTGCGCTGTGAGTTCTAGCGGCAATTTGAGTCATGTTGTGGCACCAAGAACCGTGCTAATACCGAGAGAAATAGCAGCACTATGAACTGTGGTCGCATTGCAAACCACCGCTGTGGCTCCGTGACCCGTGCTAGAACTGTCATCCGTGCCAGCGCTGTGAGCCTGGCCCCGTTGTGGCCGGTCCCCCGAGGCGTGTCGCGTCGTCTCAGCGAGCAGGTATATACGGCTGATTAGAATGGCGCCTGAGCCCGGCCACCGACTGTAGCTTACGGCGCTGTCCCCGGCGGGCAGGTCGAGATTGCACTCGCGGCCAAATGACAGCACACAATAATTGGACCGCCAGACCTGATTGTTTTTAATCAAAGTTGAAAGAGATAAGACCGGGGCTTGCTGTCCAATAGTGCGGACTGGTACACGAATTCAGGGTCGACTGTCAGTGTTAGTGTCGAACGCGGGAGCAGATAAAGCCAATATGTTCAAAAGCAATAACCAATTGTGGAAATTCGCTGGATTGGAGAGTCGAACTTCAGTGAAGTGCCTCTCTATAAGACCGTGCGGGGTCAATCCGAGCCAGCCTACGTTGGGCGTTATTAAAATAGTCAGGCGCAGATGACAGAACTGTCTACCAGCCAGAAAAAAAAAAACAATAGTCAGATGTAACGTGACTACTGATGCAGTTATGCTTGAGAGTCATGTTGAGAACCTTTATTTGGTGATGTCAAGGCATTCAGCCCAATATTACTGTAAAATGTTTCAACGACGACCCACCGACCCAGCCTACCTTTTTTCTTCCACTTGATCTCGGGTGTTGGAAATCCCGCCGCAGAGCAGGGCATGAAGACCGTGGTTCCTAGAGAGCCAGCCACGTCCTTGGGCTTCTCCGTCCACTGCGGAGGAACTGACACACATACATTCACACATCATTTACCGTCATTATTCAACCATCAACTTATCGACGTGATCGTGAAAAACGCATCTGTTCACACGGCGTGAGGAGCTTCGAGACAGCAGATCTATCAGCGGATAATGATACAATATCGATCAAGTTTGAATAGCCAGGAGAATTGGTAGTTGTGCTAACTGCTGCTATATCTATAAAATTAGCTGTGTAAGCTCTGAAATCACAAATGTTTTGAGTGTTGCCACAAAGGAATCACTTGATCAAACTCCTCCCAGCAGGTGACGCTACATCGGACTGCAGAAACTCTACCTGGACTATATAAGGTATCAACTCTATTTTTTGCTAGACCCCCACACTCCCCAGGGCTGTTGTCACCCCTTTCCCCACACTGACCGTTGACCCGCAGCTGGGCCGTGTAGGTGGAGGCACGCGCTGCGTTCTCCGCTCGGCAGGTATAATTTCCGGCGTGTCGGACGGCCACCCGCTCAATGAACAGACTGCTGCTGTAGCGGTCCGTGGCGCGGACCTCCACCTCCGGGTCGGAGAGTGGCCGGCCGTTCCTCAGCCAGCTCAGCGTCAGGGGCGTGTCGCCGCTCTGCACGAAACACAGCACGTGCACGCGCTCCCCCTCCGAGTAGTTACCGACCATGAACGCCCGGATCGCCGGCGGCACTGGGGGGATCCAGGGCACGGTCGGGTCACGGATCACTTATGGAATACAAGAGAGTCACGAAACTGATTGAGTACAGGTCACAACTGACAGACCACAGACCACTAGCAAACCACAGCGTGTAAACACGGGCGATATTTACAGAGAGCGATTAAATATTCCTAACATCGCTGAATACGAGTAATCTATATCTAACTTCGTTCAAACATCATTCCAAGTCATCGTTACAACTTACAAGTTGCATAAGGATGAATCTACCTGATTCAGATTTATTTACAACATAATGGTTTCGGCAGGTATGTCTTGGAATGCCTACTTTGCAGCAAAACTTGTGGCGATGCAATTTAAAATATCATGTGGTTTCAACGAAGCAACGGGCTATCAAAACATAAATACAAATCGAACGCCTTATGTGTATGTTCTGCTCTGCACCACCAGCAAAGCTATAAACAGATCTCCGTATCATAGTTACGACCAAAAGTTCATATCAAAACACATTACTTTCCACGTCTACGGTAGTAATTCCTACCAGCGCACAAATTCCCTTTGGGGCCGGCAATTTTTCGTCGGAGGCGTTATCTGGCGCTGTGGGCCATCACCAACTGTGCCAGAGATATAGCCTCTGGTTTACGGGTCTCAATAAAGTGGCGTTCCCAGCATGGCAGAGAGCAGTATGCGCGAACAAACACAGCACAACAACATTATACTTTAAAATTGTCTATCTTGCTGACGATGTAGAAATAAAACGACGGAAAGGCACATATGTAGTAACAAGCCAAGCGCATTTCGCGTTTGATAGCGTCGCGACAGACTCGTCCCTGAATCGACAAAACAAGCAACTAAAGCCGACCTTTCGCCCAATTATGAGCGGCTAGTGGCGAGCTGACAAAATGTTCTTGTCAATATGACAACTTTGCCAATTAAGTGCGCAGTGCGGAGAGTTGGCGCTGCAGCCGTGGCCGCCGGTGCACGTGGCTAGGTTCATTGATTGCTTGGGGCGACAGCCCGCTGTCGTTATAAACTGCCGCGACGGTAGGAGCGTCGGGTCAGCAGAGCACCGGTCGCGGCCGCCTGATCGGTATACTGCACCGCAACACACACAAACGACTGCGGGGTATGCTGCGCCGCAACACACACATGACTGCGAGGTATACTGTACCGCAACACACACCACTGCGGGGTATACTGTGCCGCAACACAGAACACTGCAGTAGGTAAATAAAGGTAGAATGTTGCAAGCTCTTTATCGCCCTGGCTTATAGCATGTGGGACATTTGAAAACTCAGACTATTTGGAAAATGTCTTGGACAGCCTTGCAGGCTTGCACTACGTTCTCAACCCCGAAAATTCGTCCGGCAAACGCAGGGACGGCGCCACAGGGGGCAGTGGGGGGCAGCCGCCCCCCCCCCCCCGACTCTGAACACTGGGGCCCTCTTTCAGCCAGCAGGTCAGGTATGGACGGAATACTCTCTGGCTGTGCAGAAAGAAGACTTCTGGGCAGAGCTGTAGAAATGACTTCAGGAGTGGGAAATCAAGCCAAAGGAAAGGGGACCTTCTCAAGGTGCCGCCGCCAAGATAAAACTTACGAGCTTTGGCCCATGTTTTTGGAAAAGGGCCCAATTTAGCAAAAAAAGGTGAAAGAAAATCATTTATTTTGTATCTTGGGTGATTGTGGCCCTGTCCTATCTTCCCAGGCTGTAGAAAAGGCCCGGGGCAAAGAGGGCCCATCCTACGTCTGAGAGGGCCCATTCAATATATGAAAGGGCCCAGACAAGGTCTGGGAGGTACCATATTATGCCTGAGAAGGATAGGGCCCATACCAGTCATGACAGGGCCCGTAGCGGTGCTGAGATGGCCCTTGGAAGGAGTGCGAGAGCCTGTAAAATGCCTGAGAGGTCCCATACGAGCCGTGGCAGGGCCCATAGCAGTACTGAGAGGGCCCACAGCAGGGCCCATAACAGTACTGAGGGGGCCACCACAAGTTATGTGAGAGCCCGTACCCTGACATATTACTGAGGGTAATGTCAGTCGGCAATCATGGAAGGGCCCCCAGCAGTACTGAGAGGACTGTTGCAATGACTAGGAGGGCCCGTGCCATACCTGTGAGGGCCCATAAGACCCATGCGAGGGCCTGCAGCAGTACTGAGAGGGCCCTTGCAAGAACTGGGAGGGCCCGTATCATGCCTGAGAGGGTCCATACCAGTCATTAGAGGGCCAACAACAGTGCTGAGAGGGCCATTAAAAGGTCTGGTAAGGTCCTTAGAATGTCTGAGAGGGTCCATACCATGTCTCAGAAGCCCCCTAGTAGTATGAAAAGGCCCATATCAAGCCTCTGAGGGTCCCTACCCGAGTCAAGAAAGGGCCTTTACCGGGCTCCAATGGCCATGCCAAACTGAGGATCTACCGAACTTCAGAAGGCCCATACCAGGCCTCAGGGGCCCAAACCAGGCCTCATAAGGACCATATCAGGTCTCAAGGGGCCAATTCAGGTCTCTGAGGCCTCTACTAGGCCTTAGAAGGTTCATAATAGACTTAATGGGGACCTGACAGGTTTCCGAAGGCCCAGACCAGTCCGCATAGGGCCCCTATAAGGCCTCAGAAGGCCAATTTCAGGCCGCATAGACCCTAACAGACTTCGGAAGTCCCGTATCAGGCCACAAAGTGCCTATACCAGGCTTCAGAATGTCCTTCATACAAGGCCTAATGGGGCGTAACAGGTCTCCGAATGCCCATTCGAGACCTCAGAGAGCCCATATCCAGTCTCGGGGGGACATAGGAACTAGGCCTCATTGGGTCCCTATGATATCTAAATCGCCCGCGAGTACGCCGCACTAAACCCTGGTCGCCGGTCAACCTTCGGGGTCAACCGTACCATACTTGAGAGGGCCCATACCACTCATGCGAGGGCCTTTAGGTCAACCTATGGGCATTACCCGAGGCGCCGCTCCTGTGTCATGTGTGACGTGTGTACCGGTGTTTTTGGACCGGCCCTGTCGACCGAGCTCCTGTTTGAGCCACTGTCAGTCAGAGTCACTTTCCAGCCGGGAGGCGGGGCATGATAAACTCGGAGTATTGAAAACACGCTTTTGTTCAGAGTTTTGGCTGCTCAGGCTGATTCAGGTTGTTTACGTGGAATTCGTTGGTCAGCATAGTAAACAGCTTCCAACAAAAAAAGGTTACCTATTCATGTTACCACAAGAACAATGTCTTGGCTGTTGTCGAACGACCCCCTCGGTTTTTCGCAAATAACTCGCGTAAAGAGCGGTTGATCGCGACGAAACTTTCAGTGCATGCTAGACCAATTTACAGTACCCTAGCGGTGCTAAACTTTAACCCTCGCACGACCAGGCCATTTCTCATAACACGAACGACCAGGGGGGGGGGGTTGTTACGACCCCCCCCCTGGCGTTTCGAAACGGAAGGTCGTAGAGCTTTGCGGAAAAAACCAACGGATTGCTCTCAACGAGATCTCGCGATTGGTGGTATATTTTTTGGTCCTAGGTCAACATTTGACCTACTTATGACCGGTCAAAGGTCAAATTTTCCGAAAAAATCAAACTTTTTCAACTTTCCGCGGCGATTGCGGCAAAACGGTGGGAGATATCGGCTTGAAACCTTCACTATCGTGTTCCTTGATCAATTCTCTATCGTTTGGTATGTATTTCGTTTCCCTAGCTCTAAAAATGGCGCGTTGGGAGCGCCGGAAGTCGGCAAGGTCACAGTCGGCGGCAGAAATTCGAAAAATCAAAATTTAAATTTTTGAAATCTGATTGTATTTTTGGATTTGGGAGGTCCATTTGCTCCCTATAGAAGCTAATATTGCTGCATATTCCCATTGAGGTGACAAGAATTAGCAAAATAGTGGTTCGGGCGCTTTTCAAAAATAGTACCGGACGCTGTTCCTCTTGTGACGTCATAGCTCCGTGACCTGACCTGACCCAGTCAATTTTCTTATACCATATGATAGCCAATACTTGCCCCAACATGCATGGGAAGTTTCATCACGATCCATCAACCGATGTCCGTACCACCGGCAGGAAACCTCGGGCGTTGGCACTCAGTTTGTGAAAATCCGGCCGGAGGCTGTTCCCTTTGTGACGTCATAACTCCGTGACCTGACATGACCCGGTCAAATTTTTTTCATCAAAAGATGCGCAAGGTTTGCCCCAGAGGGTATTGAAAATTTCAGCCCGCTACGACAAGCCGTTTAGCGTGCACTTCGAAAAAACCTCAGGGGGGGGGTTGATACAACCCCCCCCCCTAGGCGTTCTACACTGTAAAAAAAGTTTAGCATTTGGGGTACTAACGGCTGCTATTCGTAGCACCTTTTAGCGTCAAAAGAACCCTACGACGTATTTACAAAGAAGCATGGTGCTAATACTGTGCTAATGATAGCTAACATTCCCATCAAATATTATAAGTTTAGATCACCTATTCTTCTACTGAGCTTAACGTCTACTTCTGCTAGTACCCAGTCCATCAGTGAGTGCTCTTTCAAGCTGGATTTCTGATTAGAACCATTTTAAGTGTTTTAGAAGTTGGTAATGCTGAATATGGTGCTTACGTTAGTATCACAATAGAACCGGACATGCTTACAGAGGAAACAAATTTGAAATTGGCGCCAAAGAAAGTAGCTAAACCCTGCTTTACAAATCTCTGGGAGTCTTATCACCAGCCCTTTAGCACGTTTTGACGGCGCAGAGCGATATGCGCATGCGCGTGCCAGCTGTTTCCGGCCACGTGTTGCGCCATTTTAGTGGAGTCCGTTGGTCGTGGTGGGAGTGTGTGCACGTGCTCCGGTATCTGAAGTGAAATGAAGTGAAGTGAAGTGCTCCGGGCACATGCCACCGAGTGATAGCTCTGGAATGATAGCTTAAATCAGCTATTATCGGTGGAATCCGTCGTGCGTGGCATGGGAGTGCGTGCCCCTGCTCCGGGAGGCAGTGAGGTGGAGGGAAGTGCAGTGCAGCAGTGCAGTGAAGTGAAGTGAAGTGCTCCGGGG